ATCTAGATGAGAGTTGGTGGCACCTGCAGTGGTGACTGAGGTTAAGAGAGGATGCATTGAAAGGATGTGAAGAAGATAGAATCAACAGGACCAGGTGACCAATTTGGAGCCTGAAGACAGAGGAAGAAGGTGGATGGATGAGTCCCACGCACTTGGCCTAGGATGATGGAGGCTGATGATGTGGACTATGATTGAGAACGGAGGGAAGCATGTTGGATAGATGATAATGAGTTGAATGTAGAGATTGGGTTTGGGACATCTAAGTGGAGATATCTAAGAGACTACTGTGACTTTGGGGGTACTTCTGACTTCTAATATCCAGGAGTCCCTTCTCAATCTCTCAATTAGTTCTACTTATTACAAGTGCCCATTTCAGAGTCATATCCATCACCCCTCTCCTCTTCATGCCTACTTATCTATTCTCTTGGCCTCAACTACCTCCATTGATGACTGTCAAATTATCTCTGGCCAGGATTACTCTCCTGAGTTTTACTTGTTCAGTCTAACTGTGTACTTGTCTTCAACTGACTATTCTCCAAGCAGCTAACATCAACATATTCTAGTATAGCGGTCGCCAACCTTTTGGACCTCACAGACTACCAGGGGTCTGCGGATCACCGGTTGATGACTGCTGCTCCAAAGGTTTCCTTAAACCAGCGGTCACCAAGCTTTTGGACCTCACGGACCACTGGCTGGTGACTGCTGTCCTAATATGTTCCCTCATCTCCCCCCCCCCTTCTTTTACTATGTAGTATAATCTTCTGGTCAAGAGTACAGAAACTCGAGTTACCTCTCTAGGATTGAGCCCTAGATCTATTACTTACTAGCTTTGTGACCTTGAGAAACTTATGTGACCTTTTTGTGCCTCTGTTTCCTCATCTGTGAAGTCAGAATAACAATAGTACCTATCTCATAGTGTTGTTATTATGAGGATCAAATTAGAATGCACCTGACACGTGGTAAGCACTGCATACCTATCAGCTATAATGAGATCCTCCTGGATTTCCTAGTCTGGTTAATGGCACCTCTATTTAACCAGCTACTCAAACCAGAAATGTGAGATCACCTCTTCATTCCATATCAAGTGACCATCAATTGGCCATTTGCTCTGTCTTTTCCCATCTCCACCCCATCTCCACCATTACTGCCTTCTATCGAACCTTTATCATCTCCTCCCTCAATGACTAAACTGGTTAGCGACTAGACTGTCTTTTGTCTTTTCCTTTTCCAACACTCTCCATGTAGACCTCAGTGATTTTTCTGAAATGTAAATCTGATCACTTAAAAACCCTTCAGTGCCTTCTTGTTCTCACAGAAGGGAAAAACACACACACAACAACTCACAGGTGAAGGTCTCTACACTTTGCTCCCATCTCCTTCTCCAGACTCTTCTGCACTTCATTCTGACCTTCCTTTAGTGGGTAGTTCCTTAACGTTCTGTGTTACCTTGGCCTTCCATGTCTTTGTGCATCCTGATTCCCTGTGGGATGCCTCCAGCTGTGTCTCTCTGAAACGGTTCCTGGCTCGTCTCCCAAGCAGAATAGATTATTGTCTATTACTTCAGGAACGTAACCCTTGTACCTGTCAGGCTTATTGTAATCATTTGCATGGCATTCTTTTAGGCAAAGCTTAATTATCTTTGAATGAGTCAGCTAAACGAATTAACTTCTTGGAGAGATTTATGTCTCCCACGTTTAGTCAAGGGCCGATGTTAAACATTTATTTATTGAACGGATCATGGTTAATAATCATTTCTATCTATATTGAAGAAAAAGATCTCTGTAGTTACTTTATTTGTACTATTGGGGGAGATTCTTCTCTAGTTATGTTGATAGAGTGAGTGTACTCTCTTATTTTAGGCTTCCAAACGTCAGTCATTTCCTGAGGGAGCAATAATAATACTTCCTGGTAACTGAGTTTCTGGAAGAGCCAATAAGAAATGTCACCAAGATGGCCAACACCAAGGGAACAGTTCAGGTGGGGTTTGAGGTCCATCACCTCCAAACGCCATTCATGAAATGTTAAAATATTGTATTGATATGTAGAGACTTGGTTGTTGTTGTTGTTGTTGGTTTTTTTTTTTTTTTTTTTTTTTTTTTTTAAAGATAAGAGACTGCTACACTATAAAGGAAAATATACTATGGCTATCTCGTAGCTATAATAACAGCAACAGTACTATTTTCTCCCACGGTACGCGTGTTTTTAAAGTTGTCATCTGTTGTATTTCCTTTGATCCATGGGATTATCTCAGTTTAGTAGCAAAAGAGACTGAGTTTAGAGGGAATTTTGCCCATTCAGTGAGAGGGCTGGACTGAAAGCCAGGTTCTCAGTGTGTCACTGGAGGGCTCACCCCTCAGTCCTCTCCTCAGGAGCCTGTGCTGGGCATGTGTTCCCATGCTGCTGATCCACATACCGAGCGTCTCCCAGATGCCAGGCTAGCTTCTCGCTCTCCAGCAGACAGAAATCCTCCATAGGGTTTCACTGCACTTCCGATCATCCTGTGAAGTCAGGGGAGATCTCCCAACAGCAAGATTTGGTTCCCAAATCTTTGGACTTCGGGAGGACTAATGGAGCCATTCAGGGGGCCAGGCAGTGTGAGTTAGTGAGTAGGGTCCTGGATATAGCTGAGTTGTTTATCCCTCTTATTCTGTTTGCTGAATAAAAAAGTAAGAGGTATCTGTGGGCTTTCTTTTTAGACAAACACATGGTAGTTATTTGCTATTTAAAATGCTTGGTCCATTCTGTTTTGCTTTAATGATATTCAAAAGGATTATCAATATATGGCCATAAGCATGAGCTGAAACAGAACCTGGCACAAAGAGACCTCCTTTCCCCCCTCTTTCTACCTCCCTCCTTTCTTCTCTACCTTGACTTAAACAATATTGATTCATTAAATGGCATTAAGACCTATATATTTCTCGTTGGCATCAATACATTCTGAAACCTCATCTGTGGTCCAATAGCTCAAACATCTGTGGTCCAATAGCTCTCCAGCTCTCTGTTCTGAAATTTTCTTTTCTTTATATGTTTGATTATCAAATTAACCTCCTTTTTTTGGCTCTAGGAACAGAGTAGATGCTCTCTACGTTTTGATTAAATTTAAAATGGTTATTGCAACCATCCAAACTGGTAGATATTCTAATATGGTCCTTGGAGAACATTAAAAGAATATTAAACTATATGGATGCAGACATTTTCAAAAGGAGCGTCTCAGTCTCTCTTTCCTGAACTGCGGTGTAGTTAGTCTTGAATGCTTTTCTATGTGCAGGCCTGTATCTTCCCACTGGATTTCAGACTCGGTGCCCACCTGGTGCAGGGGCCACAGTCTCTCCCTAGCACTTCTTCCTCAGTGATTTTTTTTTTTTAATGAATAAATAATATTTATTTCAAGTGGCATTTTTTTTTTTTTGAGCAAAGACAAGTTGGTAGCTTCACCACTCTTTATTTTAGTCACATACTAGTATAGTGACATTCTAAATGAACTTGGCCTTGGAGTTAAGGAGTGAAGTCACTAAGTTAGTAAAAAGGCTGTTCTGTGTTATTTCCCCTGTCAGCAAAATGAATGGTAGTGGGGAATTTGTGCTTAAATTTATGTCTGTGACTCTTCATTCTAAAGGGCAGCTAGAGGGCTTTTGCAGTTTTCTTGCTGGCCTCTACCTGTTTCACTGGAAACCCATCTGTGTTGAAGTTCTGGTGTGCCAGTTTCCTACACAACTCTCAGTGCACCCCTGCCATTTTTACGCACTAAGCGGAGGCCAGTGCTCAACCCACGGTGAGCATCCGAACCCCCGACCCTCCACCTCCCAAGCCTGTTAAAGGGCACAGAGGCTGCACACCCCTGAATATTCTTGAAGTTGTAGGTTCAGGATAGGTGGTGGGCATCAGTGGTTATAACACTTTCTGATTGTCTTGGAATCAGTTTTTGAGAAACATTGGCATTCAGTCAGAGACGTACTTTGAATAGAATAGAACTCTGTGATTTTTTTAAATGATGGTTTTTCTCAAAGTTGTGAGACATTCCAAATGTGTTTAAAAATTGTGTTTTAGGCACGTGCATGAATTCTTCTTTGACACCACAGAATTGGCAAGATTTATGTGGCTCTGTAGATGTGATTATATAATACTTTCTTTGCTGCAGTTTTATTGATCTAGTTATATTAACATGCCATTCAAATGCATCTTTATTTATTAAAAACTTCTATTTATCAGGAGTGAAATAAATCAAACTTACATTGCAATATATATTGCTATTAATTTTACACACACAATATTTATCTGCACTTGGTCCCACGTTTTATATGGAGAAAAATTTCAGAATATTTAGAAGATATAATCTAATGTACCTTTAATAATGGTCAGTATTTTATGGTACTAATATTGATCTTGAAGTCAGATGGAGTACTGAATTTTTTTTATTCTAAAAACGTTTAAGGATTAATTTCTGCATCAAATGTTTCTGTTAATGCTAATTCTCTGATCATACAAGTTAATTGACAGTACACAATAAATTAAGGCAAACTGTCATTAATTCCAGCCATCAGGATAAAGCACATGGCTCAGGATGCAATATAAGAGGCCGACCCTGCCCTAACCAGTTTGGTTCAGTGGATAAAGTGTCAGCCTATGGATTGAAAGGTCCCAAGTTCAATTCCAGTCAAGGGCATGTACCTTGGTTTCGGGCACATCCCCAGTAGGAGGTGTGTAGGAGGTAGCTGATCGGTGTTTCTAACTCTCAATCCCTCTTGCTTCCTCTCTGTAAAAAATCAATAAAATACTTTAAAAAAAAAAAAAAAAAAAAAAAAGAGGCCCAGCCTTTTATTTATTTTTACTTCTGGCAAATGCTTCTTTGATAAGATGGGTCTGGCCTTCTTTAGACATGTGATACATTGAAAAGCTTAAAATTAGGAGAATTACTTTGGAACGTGACATAAATTTACAAGTCATCAGGAATCCTTAATGCCTCAATCTATTTCTTCTTCTTCTTTTTTTTTTTTTTCCAGAGACTTTCTCCCTCGAGGGTCAGGCATCGTGACAAGACGGCCTCTTGTACTACAGCTTGTTACTTCCAAAGCAGGTAAGGAAAGAGGATGCCACACGGACATCTCGTATATCTGGTGCCTCCGGGGTTAAGTTGTAGCCACAAAAACGTTTCTGTGATCACCTTGCTGTGGGAGTTGCTTGTACTTCTCTCCAAATGCTCCCTCCTTCACTATTCTTTTAATTCCTTTGATTTATTAATGGGAAAGCTTCATTTGATTGTAGATTTTTAAACACCCGGAAAATAACATTTTATTATGGTAATTATGTCTAGAAAATAACATTTTATCTTTGTAATTAATTCATCTGTACTGTATGGCATAAACATGAATATTCCTACTTTCTGGAGAAATAAAGCCATCGAGTGAGGAATCCCTCCACTCAACCACTAAGTGCAGACTCACCTGCAGGTCCCCCCCACCCCCCTCCGCCCCCGCCCCCGCACCTCCATCTCCATTTTGCTCTTTCACGTGGTTGCAGTACAGGAGGGGTCCTTTCGTGCCCCTGAGGGGATTCTAAAGGTGTGGCTTGGGGGACAAGAGCTGGACAAGGCGTTGCTGAGGTGATGGGTAAGGACTGCAGTATCAAGAGCAAGGGAGTAGGTAGAGGGTCTTCATAAGACAAGAGGACAGTTTTCAGTGCCCATTGGCTTCCCCTGGTGCCATGTTGAAACTGGCTTCCGAGATCCGATGCTGGACCTCCTGTTCCATCTCCGTATTCAGTGACATCACGGAGGCAGCCTGAAGATGGTCACGGTGGGAGAATTTACAGGATGGAAATTGGCAAATGCTACATACAGATCAGGCCTCTTTGCCCCTTCGGGTGCCAGCTGTTAAACATTTGCCAGCAACCCACTGGGCCTTCTGCTCAGCACCCGATCTTATTGTTTACGGGTTAAGTGACATGTCAGACTGAGAAAGCTAATATGTCTGAGTGTTCTGTTTTTCGAAAATATGTTTTTATTGACGTCAGAGAGGGAGGGAGAAGAAGAAAGAGAGAGAGAGAGAGAGATAGAAACATCAATGATGAGAGAGAATTATTGATGGGCTGCCTCCTGCATGCCCCACATTGGGGATTGAACCCATAACCTGGGCATGTGCTCTGACCGGGAATCGAACCGTGAACTTCTGGTTCATAGGTCAACATTCAACCACTGAGCCATGCTGGCCAGGTTCTATTTTTGATGAACTACTGAGTATGTTGAAAGTGTCACTGCTTTAAGAAGTAGTCTGACCTGTTATGCTCGGTGGATAGAGTGTTGGCTTGTGGACTGGGGGGTCCTGGGTTTGATTCTGGTTAAGGGCATGTACCTTGGTTTTGGGCACATCCCCAGTGGGAGGTGTGCAGGAGGAGGCAGCTGATCGATGTTTCTTTCTCATCAATGTTTCTAACTATCCCTCTCATTGTAAAAATAAATAATAAATAAATAAAATAAATCAATAAAATGTTAAAAAAAAAAAAAGAAGTGATCTATTGGGAATTTGATTTGTCCTTCCCCCTGAAGGAAAGGTATTTTTTATTATTATTTTTATTATTTTTTTTTAAACATCAGAATCCAAGTCTTTGGTTTAAAAGTTACTGGCTGTTAAGGACTTACAAAAGTAAAACCTGTAGAGCATGGGTGAGGACAAGTGGTTTTGTCTCCTGGAGTGCTTTACTCTGTTAAAATATTCCTCTAAGTGCTATTGTGTCACCTCCCTCTCCTTTATTTCATTGACATTAGTATAAGAAATGAAGATGTTGAAAATCAGAAATTACAAAATGGGTAAATTGAAGATAATTGTTCAAATTACAGAAGTGATCTTTTGTAAAAGATTTCCTTGCTGCTTCCTCCTTTCACGCACATCAAATATATTATTAATTCATCAACATTTGATTTCCCACATTTGAATTGCCTTGACTGCACCATGTAATGTGACCACGTTTTAAAAATTACATAGGGCTTGTAATTTATTAGAGAGCTGTTACTATTCAGTATTTTGGGTCCTTGGTCGGAATTGCTGTCAATGACCATTTAGACAAAGATGGAGACACAGAGCTCAGGTCTGAGGAGCGAGGCTTGTGAGGCTGCTGAGTCGCCAGGGTCGGAGCGAGGGGCTGCCCACCAGGCTCTACCCTCAGGTCGGCATGAAGGGCCTTGTAAGTCCAGGTGCAACTGGGCAGAGGGTCTTTGAGGAGATTGCTTCCTCCTGTAATAGGCATCCCCTTTTCACAGGTGAGCTATTTTAAAGAAGTTTGTAGATTTAGAGACTTTAAACCCTCATGTATGTACAGTGACTGGGACTTGGTTTCTACAATCATAACTTAGACTGAGATATATTAGTGAAAACGCACAAGTCTTACTTTGAATAACAATATTAGAAATATTTTAAAACTACGGATCTCATTTTGTTTTACATTTAAATATCCGAATATTTGATTAAAATAGACATTTTTAGTATGGTAGTCTGTTTTTGCAGAGGACTAAATCTTTATTTTCTTTTCACTCATGGTGAAAACAAATGTGATTCTGAAAACATTCTTTCTTAACTACAGCTTTGACCTTGTTCTGGTCCAGTGCTGGCTCCCGCTTGCTTTCCATCGGTGGGGAGGTTAGCATACCAAACGCAGATTCCTGGTTTAATGTCCCTTGAGTGGAGTTATTTTGACATTTCCATGCTCATGAGATTCCTGGGGATTGCTGGGCCTCCCCCGAAGAAGTTGTGATTCAGCAGGTCTGGGCAGGGCCCAGGTTGCTGGTTGTAAAAAACTACTGCCACAGAAGATGTTCTTTAGAGTGTTGCTCCCTGAGTCACACTGTGAGAAGCACTCAGAACCAGTTCATCTAATTCTTTCCTGTTGTTTTCTTTTTCTAGGTTTGTCTCCTCCTCCCCCTCCTCCTCCTCCTTCTCCTCCTCTTCCTTTTCCTCCTCCTTCTTCTTCTTCCTTTTTTTTAAATACGACTCCTTTTATTGGGAAATTGCCCATCATTAAAAAAAAACACCTGTCCATATGTTTGCTCATGAAGCCTTCATCTGGGTCTGCACACTGTGCTTGGACCAAAGCAGGCCGAAGTGTGTTCATGGCCGAAGTGTGTTGTCTTGCTGCTGCCCGGGGCCCCCAGCTTCAACACCAGCACATCTGGCCCTGGCATTTCAGAGCCTGAGGACCCCCACCCCAGCTTTATTTAGATATAACTAACATATGGCGTTGTGTAAGTTTAAGGTGTGCAATGTAATGATTAGATCTATGTATGTCTGAGGATCTTCTTAGATTCTTAGAGGCTGAGGTTCTAATAACACCTAGTTAGGTTGTTGTTACATAATCGACTTACCTCCCTGGCAGAGTACAAATATCCAGGTGAAATCTTTGCAACAGTAACCACATACACACTCATCTCTCTGAGCTGGGGTCCTCCTCCTCCTTCTTTCCTTTTCACAACATTTGGAATCTGTTATTTATTTATTTACTTTTTTACTGCTTTTCTTTTGTTGGTAATTTTTTCTTACCTTAAAGATTGAGCACACATTTATTAATAGACTTAGAATTTCCAGTTGCTCAGTTATGTAATTTCTAATACAAAGTCCACAACAATTTTCACTCAACTCTCAAAATTTTTGAGAGAAGTCACAGAGGCTAGTCTAAGCAAACCTGACCCAAATTTTGTTTCTTCCCAGTTAGATGACTGCTCTTTAACACCACATACATTTCCACTTAGGAAAGGAAATTACTGAATTAAAGATATATTTCTTCCTTAAGAAAATGAAAAAAATAATATTTTCAATGGAATTACCATTCCTGATTCTGAGGTTTAGATGACTTGAGTTGGCAATAATTTGTTTGTTTCTATTCCATTTTCGGGGGGTGGGGTGGGGTGAGAGAAAGAATTGTAATTGCCTTGAGTTTCTAATCCAAAAATTATAGTCCTCTGACCTGAGCCCCTTTTGGTCCATCCTATGTCTGCTGAAAGAGGCTGGATGGAAAGGAGATGTCACATTCTTTAATTTGGGGACTTCTCTTTCTTTCTGTCCCTTCTGCACTCCCATTTTTTTTAAACTGTATTGTTTTGAAATAATTGATGGTGAAGAGGATTAAAAGATAACTGTAGATTTGTAGATGTATTAATATTTATTTAGATCTGAGCGGAGAAGATGTGCTTTTTAATTGAAGGAAAGTGAATAGACTTGTTTCACATCATGCCCATGGCTGAGATCAACTAACAGTCACTGCTTACCTACTCCTTCCACTCTCATTTTTTTCCCTTGGACTTCCAGATCACAGGCGTTGGATGAGTTGGAATAGTCTGGAATGCATTTTCTCTGCCTTCCCCTTCTCTGTGGGACATGCGTTATCTTTCCCACAGCCTGCATCTTCATTCTCCACAAAACATTGACGTCAGTGTTTGCATGACCATCAGGGCAGGATGGGTTATCTCATCTGTTGACTGCTAGCACTCATACCTTTTAGAAACTCTTTTTTTTTTTTTTTTTCTGTTGTCCAAACAGCACACCAACAGACCATAGTCTAGCTACTCTGCTGGCTTCCAAGATGGTTTTATATTAACCAGAGGTGTTTATTTTACAAAGGAAACTAAAGTCCCATTAAGTACTTTTCAAGTGATTATGTTAGTTTAATAACAAATCTTCTGCACACCTGTTGGAATTTCTTCTCATTGTTTTCCCAAAGTGTTTTTGTTGGGTACATTTTTATCCCCATATTTTTGCATGCATGCATTCATTCAGCAGATTTTGAGTCCCCACTGTGAGCCACACAGCAGAGAAGTTGCCAGCTTGTGTCCTGCAGATGATGTTTCTTCAGTTGTCTTCCTGCTACTCTCATTTTGTCTAATATTTAAAGAGACCTAATTTTTTAAACCTCTGCAAGAGTAGCAGGCCTGGATGGAATTACCTGGCTCTCCTACTAGGCAATTTTATTGCTTAGTTAGATAGGAATTTGGGGTCATGCAATACTTCATAAGTAATGTGACTGACAAGCCATGAGTCAAAAGCACTTTGAGAGTCTCTGTCCTTGGAGGGTCTCAAATCTAAGGCATGTCAA